GAGGCGATGGCGGCGGGAGCGGGAGCGGGCCTCAGGGGCTTCGGCTGGGGGGGTCTCGGGCCTCAGGGCCGCGGGCACAGAGGAGCGGAGCGTCGCCGGCTGCTGCCCGATGGGACCCAAGGTAACGCCTCAGCCCGGCGGCCGGAGGAGCTCAGGTCCCAGTCCCGCCCGAGGGGCGGGGCACTGGGCCGCCTCGGGACCGACGCCGCGCGCCGGCCGGCGGGCTTCGCGGGGCTCGCCCGGACCCGGTTTCTGCCGGGGCGGCGGGGCGAGCCCGCCCCCGGAGCCCTGACGACAGCGCGCCGTGACATGTCCCGCCTCTGACGTCACCCCGGGGGCGGGAGGCGAGGCCGTGTGGCCCGCGCAGCGTTCACTTCCGACGGCGCGGCCCTCCCGGAGCACGGCTGCCACCTGACCCTGGGGGCGGGGAAGGGTCTGGGCCGGCCGCGTCCTCCCCGCGGCTGCCCCTCCGGGAGGCAGAGGCCGCTGGGCAGGGAGCGTGAGCGGAAACTGGGCGGGCAGAGATAGAAGCCTGGCAGCGCGGCGCCCTGACGCGTCGGTGCTCCCTGCGGCGCGTGTTTGCGCGGGCCTTTGTCACATGTCGCTCTGCGACGGCACATGGGCTCCGGACGTGGAGGGGCGCGCGGGGCGCGGCCGCGCCGGGGGGTCCGGTGTGGGGTCTGTGCGCGCGTGTAGGTGCGGTGAGGGCCTGCGGGGAGGAAGGAGGCGCTCCGGGAGCCTGTCGGGCGTGCTTCTGCGGTGTCTTTCCCTGTTCTCTTCCTCTTTTGTGCCGTGAACGGTATGGACCAGCCCTATTGTAAAGCCCACAGGTTTCTCTTACAGATAGTCAAGACGTGGAGAGCTTGCCTGAAGGGGTGGGAACTTGCAGCACTGTAGTTAGCATTAACCGTTGTACCGTGTTCCCTTCGGGGTGAGGAAAACATCAGTGTCGTAAATTAGATCTGAATGGAACCAGAGTCAGCATGCCCTGTGGTTGACCTGTGTGAGATAACTTGTTTAGCACTTTTCTTCCTGGGTTGCATACAAACTAAGCATGTAATTTTATGTTAAAAGACAAAGCGTACCCCAACCGGGCGTTTTGTAAGTTAAAAAATAACTCGGGGCGTTTTATAAGTTAAAAAATAACTCGTAACATCCCGCAGGACAAGTTGACCCTGCTGTGACTTCTGAGAGTCAATAAGGCAGATTAGGGAACTAAGAAATCTGCTGGTTAAAATCTCCTCAACCTGGCAGAAAGCGTGAGCCATCACGTGTGGACTGTGCGGTCGGTGTGGGACGCGTGCGGGCCATCAGCACCAGCATCGGGAAGGCCGGGTCAGCACACGGAGAGAACATTCCGGAGAGTGTATCCAGCACTGCCGCTTTGCCAGAAGGAGAAGTAAACATCTTTAGATGAAGTCTAATTTCATGTGGATAGTGGATGTCCTGAGGAAGTCTGCAAAACTGACATCCCCAAGTCATGAAGAATAACCATCCACCAGAAGACTTAAAGACGGCCATCAACTTTTAGAAATTAGCACTAAAACTCATAAAAATGATTTCCACAAAGGTCCATTTCTATAAGATATCCATATGCAAAGTTACAGAAAAAAATACCGTGTTGAGACTGCTGTATTTTATTCACAAATAAATAGGTATTTCTTATCATTGATTTTTGTGGCACTTAGAAAGATGGCTCACTTTAGGATAGTAACAGTATCAGTTCATTAAACAGAAGCTTTGCATTTCTTTAACTTCGATGCATGTACTACCCCCAAATATGACACTCTGAGCATTAATATTTTACACTTCTTCCAACTATGGGGGATCAGAATTGGCCACCCCAAAATGTGTTTCTTTGGCTTATTTTTAAGGACAAAAGACTGTGAAAGATACTTGACCTTCCTGCTAACTGCCTAAAAGAAAAATAAGGCCTGACAGGCCATCATCATAGATAACTCTGGGTATGATAGATTGGGAGGATCCTTGCTAAGCCCATTTTTATTGAAGTTCTCTCTCTCTCTCTGGTCACATTCTCTACAGCTGGCCCAGCAAACATTCATTTACCAGATATTTGCTTTTCCATGTCCATGTGATTGCTTTCCTCCCCTTTGAAGTCCCAAACCACTACCCAAACATCCTCCTTTGT